CTACATCAATGGAGGTCTGAACCCACCCTCTCAGGCTGTCTGCTAGGATCACAGCCTTAGCCTACCAAAGCCAGATCTGCCTTGGGGCCTTGGGAGGGGCCTCATGAAATCCCAGGTAAGGGGATGGATATAGCACACTTAGGGGAAGCTCACCACCACATGGAGGCAGGATCCAGGGGCTCTCAGGCAGTCCCCTGTGTTCTCAAGCCCTCTGCCTGAGGGAGGCCAGAACTCAATACTCTCTAACACTTAAGTTCTTATGTTGAAAATAAAGCAATTTGTTCTGAGTACTGGGCCCAGATAGAGAAATAGTAATAGAGGAAAGAAAGAGGAAAAAGTTGCAGTCCTCACAGCATTCACTGAAGACATGGCTAACATCACATTTGGTCTCATATTTGACTGCAGAGTTGCAGGGAAGTGGGAAGTGGGACACTGACATAGATTTATGCGCTTTTCCTGCTGAGGTCATAAACTGTAGCAAAGGAACTGTGGGAATAAAGGAAGCCATTGTAAACACTCAGTACCTGGAGGAGTCAGAATCAGGACACTGAAGCATTATCTCTGAGTCATCACTTCTATGTGATGGTGGAGGCAAATTGCTCTAATTTCCCATGAATCCAGACCCCTGGGTTATTCAAGCTGGTTGCCTTACCTAATTGTGGTTCTTACTATCAAGGTAGGAAATTTTTTTTTCAATGTTGGAGAACTTGCAATTATTAATTAATAAAATTATAAATTACATTGAGATATTGGAGAATTAGAAAAATAACCTCCTAAATAAAAGATGGAAAAGGAGGTTGAGGGTGAATGGATGTTTACTTGATATCTGCAAAGAAGTGTCTTCAGGGATGGTTGCTGGGAAATAAAGTGCGGGATGAAGTGGAAAGTGAGGTCACCAAATCAATAAGCATTCTACAGGGGACGTGTGATGTCTAGTCTTAATTTCTATGCCACTCTTTATGAAACTCTCAGCAGATATTTGCCACTGTCATGGGGCTTGCTATACTGAGTGTCAACCACTAACTCACAATGTAGACGTTTTCCGGTGTCCTTGCTCCATTCCCTGAAATCTCACTGCTGTTAGTGCTATGTCCTGTGTATATTTTTGTAAATTTAAAATTCTCCTGCCTTCTGTATTCAATAAATTCTTGGCTTATATCTGCATGTCCTTTTAAGGAAAGAGAACAAAGGAAAATATTTGAATATCATATCATGCACACAACTGATAACACATTGAAATATTGAATAAGGACGGTAGAAGAATGAAAATTGAGACAATCTATTTCTCCATGTAGAGCGTTTCAGTTTCATCATCTCACTGTATGTCCTTAGAATGGTCCTGATGTGCATTTCTCTCCATCTGTTTTGGATCCATTGTGCAGCAGTTCTACTGGCATCCACTGTCTTCTCTAATTACAATAATGTCTTCAAAATAGGATTTTTCTGTGTTACTCTCCCATTCCCACACATAGGATCTCCAGTTCAGAAAGATGTGTCTGCAAACGCAGTTATTATTTTGTCATTCCTCATGTCAAATTCTTTATTAGAACTTGTGGTGGTTTGAATGAAAATGTCCCCCATAGGTTCCAAATATTTACATTTTGTCCCCAGGTGGTGGCACTGTTTTGGGAGGTCTTAGAAGGTGTGGCTATCCTGAAGGAAGCACGTCATTGGGCATGGGCTTAGGGAGTTCTTAAGCCTTGAGAGATCTCCAGTTGCCCTCTTGTTTCCTGTGCCTGCTGGAAGATGTAGAGCTTAGCTTCTGCTCGCTCCTCCTCCAGCCACCTCTGCCGCCATGCCTCCCTGGCATGATGGACTGTAATTCCCCTGGAACCGTAAGCTCAAATAAACTCTTCCTTTTATAAGTTGTTTTGATCAGTGTTTCTATCATAGCAACAGAAAAGTGACTAATACAGAATTCCAATTTTATTTTTTTAATTAATTTTTTTGTGTATTTCATACAGAACATCCCAAATGATCTTAATCATCTTTATACCCCGATCCTAAATGGCGCTCTCCCATAACCTTCCCCCCAACCCCACTGGAGCCCATATATTCTGTCATCCTGTCATCCCTGTTACTGCCCACTGTGTTGTCAGTGCCCCCAGCCATTCCCTAGTGCAAGTCCATCCGCTGAGTCTAGTCAGCCTATCTAGAGCCCCTTGTTTTAGGAAGATCAGCTCTTCTTCATCTAGCAGCAATCAGTTGCCAACATTCCTTTAAATGAGATTGGGGTCTATGAAGCTCCCTCAGGCAGAGGAGGGCCAGGAACACAAAAGGTCACAAATGACCAAAGTATAGAGATCAGGAGTCTGCTAAATAATGGTCCTTGAATTGGACCCCTTTATTAAACTTCATCCAATATTATTTTAAACAGTATAAGTTTTCGATGTGGAATGAGGCCACAACTGGCCTTAAGCTTGTCCTAAAACCTCTGTGACTCCTTTATCTCTCATTTCTTTTCCTCCCTCTGCGCTCCTTCCTGGCAGTGTGGTCTCTTGTTCTTCAAGCAGAATCGCAGTATTCTGGTCTCTGAGCTGAGCCCAGGGCCAACAGGGCTGTTGTGATCAGGACCACCAGGATTTTGGAAGAAGCTCTGGAATCACTCCCAAGTCTGTGCTGGAAGGAACCAGGCAGTTGCCTTTATAAGGAGGAACAGAAAAATGGACCCTTTGAACCCCATTCTATGTTGTTTCACACTGGACAAAGCAGGAAATGCTGCACCTTTGACTATCCTTTGGGACATTTGCCCAGCAGAATGAGGCAGGTCAGAGGTGCCAGTATCCCTTTCTAAAAGACAGAACACATAATTGGGGTGAATGTGAAAGAAATCATATGCAAGATGTCAGTACAGATATTACAGTGAAAGAACCATTATTGTGCATATGAATTTCATTCTGTTTGATGAGACTAAGATTCTGTACGTCCACAGTACAGAGGAGGGAGAAAGAGAGAGGGTAGTGCATCTATTTCTGCTGTTAGCAATGACCTATAAAACCAAATTAAAGATGATCAATGTCTCTGATCAGTAGTATGGCTTACTCTCTATCACCTATATGTGTCCCTATGTGTATAATACCTAGCTAAGACTGATGATATTAAGATCTTTCTTGAACAAATCTGAAGTAAATTTGGACACCACTCAGAATCTCCACCATACCTGAACACAGCAAGATTTCCCAAGAGCCTTTGGATTTGAAAAAAGCCACATGACATATAACATGCTTCTAATGTACTGGCAGAAGTAACCATACAACTCATGATGGTGTGTCAGCAACATGAATTTTTAAATCTTTGATGAGTCATGTCATTTTAGGACTCTGAGACCTACTGTGGACAGGTCCTTTTTCTGAAACATTCTATACAAATTTCTTAAAGCATTGCTTTCTTATGAAATATTTTCAATCACCATGACAGAGTGCTGATTGGCCACAACTGTGGATTTGAGCTCAGCGCTTTGTTCTTCCCCTCAGTGTTTCAGTTCAGTCACGATATTGGCCAAAGTCAGTGAAGTGTTGTGTCCTCAGAATGACCTTAAGCACAGTTTGCTTGTTATTTTGGATGCTAATTGATCCTGATTCTCTTGCTGAAAACATTTTTGATGCATTGTACATTGGGAGATGATTCTCTATTTTTGTGTTTATAAACTTATTGCTGGACATTTGGGGGGGATTTTGGAAGAATTATTTTATTTTCAAAATGAACATTTATTTAAATTTAATTATTTATGTTTTGTCTTTTATTTCAAAAATCGGTAACAAGATGTATTTCCAAAAGATTTTCTTAGGTATCTAAATCTCTTGCTCTCATTCAATCCCCCTCTACAATCTGTTATATCTAGTTGATTCCTGTCCATCCTTTTCATGGAACAAGTTACTTTTGTAGAACTTAAACTTTAATGTATGCATGGTGGTATTTTGAGGATTGCTTAGTTGGAGGTAAGGAAAAAGGGGTCGTGTATTTGAATGTCCTGAGTTCAGTGCTCTGGTCTAGTGTGGGCCACTAAAGTCTGTGCTATGCACATGAGTCAGTTCTGGCTCCTTCTGGCTGTTTGTAGAGAAAAATGCAGAAATGCCTCTTGATTAATGGCTCTGCTACATATAATGTAACCCTTACAAGATGACCAAAATGATGGTTAGCTATGTTCCTGGGGCAGGTATGTTGGTACTCTGAAGTGGTACTGTATTTGCAATAGACAGATCTTCCCTGCTTGTGCTAAAAGCCACACCGTTTGCCCTATTCTCATGGGATTTATGAGATACAGAGAGGTTACTTATTGCTAACAGGTCCCTCTGTTTGTTACCACCTCCTCCTGTGGTTTCTTCAGAACCTGCATAGCAAGGGAAGCAAGGGAGCCTGAAAATAAGTTGTCCCGTCCAGGTGGCTTATGGTCGATCTTTGTATGGGAAAGGAAGGTCAGAGAAAAGGAACAGAGTTGACAACCAGGCAGGTGTGATAACACTGGGTGGGTGAGTGTGGCAGCGACATTCTTGGTAGAAATGAGCCTTATCTTTGATTTGTTCTACCCTGAATCACAGTGGTTGAATATGCTAAAAATCACCCAGCTCAGGACCTTCCCCTGACCTTCCCATTGTCAGCAGTATATGAAAGAGACTAGTGTATGACGTAAGAAAAATGTCACCTGTGAACTCATCAGACACAGCTAAAGCAGATAATATAGAGGAGCGGACAGGGAAGACTAGACTAGAAAGGTGAGCTAAGTAAGCTATGAGTAGGATTGGAGCAGGTCACTTTGCTATGTCCAGTATCTGGAAGTCCATAGCGGTACACTTGCTTCGTGATATGTATATAATCCTAAAGGTGTTGCCAATTTAGAGTTTTTGATTTTTATCCTAAACCTACTGTCTTCCTTATTAGTTTAAGATATGTGCTAAAAATAGCTGCACACTGAGTGGTATAAACACAATAAATTTGCACACAGGTATTATAAGTCCTTGAGTAATGTGATATGCAGGTCAAGTTCCTCAGAGACTGTTATCCTTGGCTTCCAGAGGGTCCACTTTTTGCGTGTCATGCTTGTACAGGGGCCATGCTAATCTTCTCTGTATTGTTCCAATTTTAGGATATCTACTGCCGAAGTGAGCATGAGGGCCCGCTTTTTTATCCTTTCTTCTTATGGCCTTTGCTCAGTGCACGTGTACCTGTTTTTTGCAATATCCCCTCTTTATAAAGACACCAGTCAGATGAAATTGGCCTGGTCACTAATTGTCTCATTTTACCTTTGCTCTTTTATTGATTAAACTTTTTCTTTGTTCATTTGATACATGTATATAATGCATTTTGATTAATTTGTCCCCGTCTCTTAGTTCCCTCCAACCATGTTAATCCCTATTCTTCCCTGCAAGTCCCTTTCCCAGGTTCATGTCATCTGTGACCCACTGAGTTTAGCCAGGGATGCCCATGTGACCATGGATGCGGAACTTTCCATTAGAGCCTGGTTGGCTCTCTAGTGGGTGTACAACTAAGAACAATGACTTTCCCTCCACCAACATCCATCAATAGCCAATAATTCCCAGAGAGGGGTGGGGCTTCTCATGGTCTCCTGCCCCATCCATGACTGACTATTGAGAGGCCCAGGTTTATGCAAACCCAGTGCAGGTAGACAACCTCACTACCCTACTATTACAATTGCAACAGATTATTAGTGTCACTCCCTTAAAGAGGACTAACTCTCATTTTCCTAGCAGGATCATCTGCTAAAAGTTCCTGGAACTAAATGAAAATGATAACAGAACACCTCAAAACCTTTGGAATACATTAAATGCTGTCCTAAGAGGGAAATTTATAGCTTTAAGCACCTACATTAAAAAATTGGAAAGAGGGGCTGGAGAAACAACTTAGAAGTTAAGAACGCTTACTGTTCTTCCAGAGGACCGTAGTTCAATTCCCCACACCCACAAGGTAGCTAACAATCATCCATAGCTCCATTTCCAGGGGATCTCATACCCTCTCCTGGACTTTGTAGGCATTGCATGCATATGGTACACTTACATACTGCAGGCAAAACACTTATACACATAAAAATAAAACATTTTTTAAAATCAGAAAGAATGCAGAAAGAACGTTTCATGTAAAACTCAAGAATGAAAAGAAAGAATAAACTAAACTCAACTCAGTAGATGAGAAGAAACAATAATCAGAGCAGAAATCAATGAAACAGAAACAAGGAAAACAATACACAGAATCAATGAATCAAAGTGCTGTTTCTTTGTAAAGGCAAACACAATAGACCCCTAGCCCAGCTAACCAAAATAAAGAAAGAGCAAATCCAAGTCAACAAAATCAGAGACAAAGTGGGAAACATCACAACAGCCACCGAAAAACAATCCAGAACATTATAAGGGAATACTTTAAAAACTTATACTCGATTAAGTAAAAAAACAAAAAACAAACAAACAAAAAAAACTAAAAGAAATGGATGAGTTTCTAAATTCAGTAGATCTACCAAAGTTCAACCAAGAAGGGATCAACTCTTAAACAGAACCATAAAAATAAGAAAATCAAAATAGTGGTACTAAGCCTCGTGATTAAAAAAAGCCAAGGCCCAGATGGATTCACAACAGAATTTATCAGACCTTCAAAGAAGACTCACAGCCAATACTACTCAAATTAGTCAAAAAGATACCCTAGGATCAAATTTTCTCTCTTTCATCATTATTTTGTTTCTCTCTTTTGGAAGGCTTTAATTACCTCTCAGTAGAACTTGGGTTTAGTCTTACCTCCAACCACACACTCATCAGTTCCCCTTACAACTGTCAAAGGGATTCACTCAAAGTAAAATAGTGATCATATCACTGCCTTACTGAAAAATCCTCTGAAATTTTCTTAATTAACTCATCACTAGATGTAAACTTCATACCTTAGTCGTTCAAAATCACATCTGTCTCCTTCCCCATCTCTCTATCTTTGTCTCGGTCTCTTTCTCTTTGGTATTTGGAAAACAAGTTTTGATAACCATCTTTCATTATAAGTATCTCTGCTGTTCTCTGTACCTTATTCCATATCAATTTATAAACAAATAAATGGTGCCTTATAAACAAATAGTGAATTACTATAGCAAGTGGATAATGTAGAACCTGGGGCTGAGAACTTCTTAGACCACTGGCTGCTGCCTTTACAAAAGCTTTGGTCTGGGACTTAGATATCTCATCTGAGAAGTGTGGAAATCACATCATCATCATCATCATCATCAATCATCATATAAATAGCAGGAGTATCACATATACCTAGAAAAATGGTTGTGAAGATGAAATGCCACATGGAAAATGCTTAAAAAATGTTTTCTACTCTAATCAGCCTTGATGAAACATAGGTATGTTAACAAAAATTCTAGAATATATATCAAGTTAACTGCATAACAGGGTGGCTAAAATTTGAGGGATTATCAAAGTGAAGTTTAATTATTAAGGCAGTGATCCATGCTCAGTCAATTATGGACACACTGTTCTTTCAATTCACAGGACACCTTTCTAGACCACAAGGAACTGCTGCAATTCACTGTCAGCACAAGTTGTCCACACTAGCACCACAGTACACCCTTTGGAGTAAAAGTCATATTTGCAGATTTAGTCAATGTGGAGCCTCGTGAACCGACAAAGACTGCTTTCTGATGCAATCAAAGAGCTAGCACTTCGTCAAGAATGAGAGAGGCATGTGATTTAGAGACTGAAGCATGACATAAACGTCTTAGTACAAGAACAAGAAGAAACCTTAGTGGGATTTAGGTAGTAAAGTGAGCTGCTTCTGTTCTGAAAGGGTCTCTGTAAAAACTAAAGAACTGGTAGGGGTATGGTGGACGATAAGAAGGCTATGAACCTGCCAGGACATTAAGCCTTCCAGAAGAGATGCAAGGAGCAAGTAGTACACAGTGTGGGAATCGTGATACTTACTGTAACCTAAAAATACGATATTATGAGATTTTAAAGACAGTACTGGGAACTGCAGAGATGACTCAGCAGTTAAGACCACTGGCTTCTATTGCAGAGTATCCGGGTTCAATTTGTAGCACCCACATGGTGACTAACAACTGTCCATAACTGTAACTCCAGTTCCAGGGAATCTGATGCCCTTTTCTGACCGCCATAGCATTGCACATCATGGGTGCACTTACGTACATGCAAGCAATACACTCACACATATAAAATAAAAATAATAATAAATAAAATATTTTAAGACAGTATTTAGGAGAATGAGTACTCTAAAATGACGCCTGTTTTCTGAAAATGATGACACGAAGATCATTAAGGGAAATATGACTGAGAGTTATTATGGGAAATAAATTGTCCTGTTACTGTTGATGATTATGTTGAACTCTTAAATACCAATACCTCACACTGTAGCTGTGATTGGAGGCTATGTTGTTACAGAAGTAATTAAGCTAAAATGGAAATTAGTGTGGGGAGTCTTCTAAATAATAGAATAATATTACAAAATAGAGTATTAGAATTCTAGAAATAGATATGCTATATAACCCAGCTAAAGAATTTCTGGGCATATACTCAGAAGACTTTATGTCCTATGATAGAGATTCTTGAACATCCATGATAACTGTTGTCATCTTCACAATAGGTAGGAATTGGAATCAGACTAGCTTCTTCTCAACCAGAAAATGTGGTAGGTGCATGGCCAAAATGGAACTTTATTTAGCATGAAAGAAAAATAAAGCTATGAAAATTTCAGGAAATAGATTAAACTAGAAAGGTTATACTGGACAAGGCAACCCAGCCCCAGAGAGACAAATGGCGCATGTTCTCCCTCATATGTGCATCGTAGCTTCAAATTGACTTTGTATTTATCTTAGAATGTCTGTAGAAACCACATATCCTCTGCCCAATTCCATATCCACTGCTGTGTTTTATTCATAACCCACGGAGTCCAATCAGTGCTGTGCTTGGGTTTGTGTTGGCCATCCACTGAACATGAGAAATTACCAGTGGCCACACTACAAACAAGAAACAAACACAAACAAACAAACTCTCCCTCTCCTAGCAGCCAGTAACTACCAGTAGCTCCTCACCTGCAGCTGGGGCCTTATGAGCCCTTCCCCATCCATTCTGGAATTTTGACAGGTTTGATCTTGTGCAGATCTTGTGTAGGTAACCACAAAACTTCTTTGAGTTTATGAATGCAGAGGCCATGGCATGTCCAGAATACATTTTATTGGCTCCACATCCTCCAGCTGTTCATGTCCTATAGTCTTCCAAACTCCTCTTTTGTGAAGTTCCTTGAGCCTTGGTGGGGGGTTGAAGTCTCATTTAGGACAGAGCACTCAGAGTCAATTATTCTCACCTCTTTGACTGTCTCTGAGTTTCTATATTAGCTTCAGTGGTATGGTTTACACAGTAAAAGGGGTAGAAGGATTTGTGAACAGAGGTGGTTAGGGAAGAATTAACACAAAGTAAGGATATAAGAAGAAGACATAATAGAACACTACTATTATAGATGTGAATTTGAAATATATATATTTTGTCTTTTTGAGACAGGGTCTCCCTGTAGCCCCAGCTGTCCTGGAACTCACTATGTAGACCAGGCTGGCCTTGAACTCACAGAGATCCACCTGCCTCTGCCTCCTGAGTGCTGGGATTAAAGGCATGTGCCACCATGTGCCAATATATATTTTAAAAAGGAGTCTGAGCAGATGTACCCTACACAGGTGGATAGTGCTAATCCAAGAATTCATGAGTGATCAAATGAAAATCCCAGTGGTATATGTGAGACACCTCTTTGTGAGATTTAGTGAGGAATCCTGAAACAGTTTCCCAAACAACACAGGCTATGGCTGTTGCTTAGACTGACCAGGCTCCAGTGGATGAACTCACACTGAGGGACATATGGGGACATAGACTTGATAGGCCTCAACGTTTATGATAGAATACATGAAACTGGGGTGGGGGGCTATGATATATAAAATTTGATTGATATATATTATATGAAATGCACAAAAAATCAATGAAATATATATTGTAAAAAATGACAGCTCTAAAACTGGTCAACAACTTACAGTGTTTATAAACACTTAAAAATAAAATAAGTGATTAAATGAGGTAGTTGAATTATCCTTAACCCAGTAATACTTATAAGGA